TTTAAGTAGAAACAGCAATACCACACAAAGTATAAAAAGTCAAAGTACATTTTATGCATAATTCCCACTGTCAGTGTTATAATATTGGACCATTATTAATAATGTATAAATATATGAGCAGTACTTCAGTACTTGGTTGAGGAGGAGCTGCTTCATGCTGTTGGGAAGTTTAATCTGTAATAATAATGTTTCATATTTTATAAACTAGCATATATATTTTGTAAATACAATTGTAATCTGATAAAAATAATGATAAACTTTATAGCAACTTTCAGACAAAAAATGCAGCACAAAGTGCTTTATATTAAGAGCAGTATAAGCAGTGAGTGCTTCACATGAAAATAGAATGAACATGAAACAGAAATGATTCATAAAATCACTGAGGTGTATAAATCACTATAAATCATTAAATCAAGTCAGATTTTAAAAGAGAAGCGTAAAGAGAAATAGTTTTAGACCTGTATGAGGAGAGTCAGAGCGAGTCTAAAGTGAACAGATACGTTTTTAGCTCTCTTTTAAGAATACTTAGCGAGCAGCTCCTCTGATATCTGTAGGTGTGTGTTTCATAGCTTTGGGACGTCACTGACAAAGGCTGCGTCCAATAAACCAGCAGCAGATGATCGCTGTGCTCTTGGAGGCAAATCTGCCTCTGAAATGTAGAGCAGGAAAAGTATAAAGTACCCTGAAATAGAAATACTCAAGTAAAGTCCAAGTACATGTAGTTACTTTCCATACTGTTTTTCTAACAACAGTGTAGCCCTGTGGCACAGAGGAAGAAGATATCTCAGGCTGTAGATACACACACTGTACCTCACTGTAGATATATGCACTGTGCTGTTGAGTCTGAACATTAGATTTGTTTATATGAAGAAAAATATCACCAGACTTTTACACACATACACACACACACACACACATTAAACTGGTGTGTGTGTGTGTTTCTCTCCTCAGTCACAATGAGTGTGTCGGTCCGTCCTCTGTCTCCTCCCTCATGATGTCACAGAGAGGCCGGACTCGACCTTAAAAGCTGAAGCGTCTCCTCACAGAGCAGACAGCCTGAGAAACTTCACTGTTGTGCTTCTGCTGCTCATCGTTCATGTGTCGGACTCTTTGGAGCAGAGAAATGAGACTGAAGATCAGCAGACACTGAGACGACATGGACAAACAGAAAGGTACTGTGTTCACTTTGTTTTTACACGACTACAGAAACATGTGACAGAAACACAGTGACATCATGTAACAGTGTATTCAACAACTATGAGGTCACCTTCCAGACATTTCACCTCACAAACTCCAGATAATTCACATTTTATATAAACTTTATCTGTTCTGTGTATCACATGAAATAAATGTCAGATGTTGCACGTGTGACTGCATCTAAATCTGACTTTTATTTAATGTGATATTACACATGTAAAAGATAAGATAAGCCTTCAATGATTAAATCAGAATCAGAATCAGAAATACTTTATTGATCCCCGAGGGGAAATTATTTATGTTACAGGTGCTCCTTGCAAGAGAGGAAAGATATGTGAAAATATAAGAAATTTAAACAATAGTATTAACAAATATATAGTTAAATAAACAGGAATTATTAACAAACATAAACGTAAATAAATATATATATATATACATATATATATTGTAAACTGAACAAGATTATTTACACAAAAATCAGGGTGTTGCAGCAGCACAGTTTCGATTATTTCAACTATATCTATGAAGCTCAGTATCATAAAAAACAGTTTTACAAAATATAACATCCTTTGGTCCTCGGACCGTCACACCAGATAAGGAAAAGTCCCTCAAAAACCCTTTAATGGCAAAATGAAATGGTCAAATCCAAAAAACGTTTGGACAG